GCCTACACTTCACATGGGATGTTAAACATTCTTTTAAAAATGAAAGTTTATTGATTTATTACACTTACACATTACGCTTTTATAATTATTAGTTGTAAAACGGTCACCAGGCAATATTATCGTTTATCGCAATAAATTTTGAGACAATTAATCGCCCAGCAAAATTTGTTATCGTGACAGGCCTAACTTGTAGTTTATATAGAGACTTTAAAATAGGTGTGGCATGAGAAGGTACCCTATAGGGTTCTCGAGGGGTCATTGGAGTTCGCCCATCCAGTCTACATGTGTTTTGTGGACTTGGAGAAGGCATTTGTCCGTGTTYCTCGAGGTACACTCTGGGGGTGCAACACAAGTATGGGATTGTCGGTCCGTTGTTACGGGCCATTCAGTCCCTATACAAGCGGTGCAAGAGTTTGGTTCACATATCCGGCAGTAAATCGGACCTCTTCAGAGTGGGAGTTGGACTTTGCCAGGGTTGCCCACTGTCACCGATTCTGTTCAAAATTTTTATGTACAGAATTTCTCAGTGCAGCCAGGGGGTGGAGAGACTCCGGTTCAACGGCCTCAGGATTCCATCTCTGCTGTTTGAAGATGATGTGGTTCTGTTGGTGTCATCGCGCCGTGGTCATCAGCTCTCACTGGAGCGGTTAACGGCCCAGTGTGAAGCGGCTGGGATGAGGATCAAATCCGAGTCCATGGTCCTCAGTCTGAAAAGGGTGGATTAGGGGTGCAACAATACATGTACCGTATCAAACCGTATCGAATGGAACAATACAGATTTTAAAAATTTACTTTATCAACATGTCTTCTGAAGATGCTCTGTGTTGAAGGATCAGTGGATCTGTGTTCAACTACTCCACCTAGGCTGCATTTTTGAGTGCAGATCCACTGAGAAACTTGCTGTTTCAGCAACATTTAATTTAAAAACTGTACTTTGGAGGTTAAACAAATGTTCATAATTAATATAAATAAATTACAAGTTAAAAGGGGCATGGACATTTCTCTTTTTTGTATCGAAAAAGTATCGAACCGAACCGTGAATTTCCTGTATCATTGCACCCCTAGTGGATTGCTCTCTTCATGTTAGTGGTGAAGTTCTGCCTCAAGTGGAGGAGTTCAAGTATCTTGGGGTCTTGTTCACGAGTGAAGGAAGAATGGAGCGTGAGACTGATGACGAATCAGTGCAGCTTCTGCTGTTTTGCAGACTCTGTACTGGTCTGTTGTGGTGAAGAGGAACTGAGCTGTAAGGCAAATCTCTGTTTATCGATCAGTCTACATTTCTACCCTCACTAATGGTCACAAATTTTAGATAGTGACCAAAAGAAGAAGATCGTGGATACAAGCAGTTGAAATGAGTTATCTGCAGAGCTGGACTCTCCCTTAGAGATACAGTAGGGTTTCTCAAACTTTTTTGGGTTGTTAAACCCTAAATACCATGAGAATAATTGTATTTATATTTTAATTTTGGGGGTTATTTATGATTGCTTTACTGGCCTATTGGTCCCCATGTGTATATACACACTTTTTAAAATGAAATGACAAAATGTAATTTTGGTAATTTATTTTGGGAACCCCAAAGCTGCAGCTCACTGACACCTGGGGTTCTTGGGACCCCAGTTTGAGAACCACTTCCTTAGAGACAGGGTGAGAACTTCGGTTGTCCTGGAGAGACTTGGAGTAGAGCCACTGCTCCTCCACATCGAGAGGAACCAGTTGAGGTAATTCATCTGATAAGGTTGCCTCCTGGACGACTCCCTGGGGAGGTGCTTCAGACATGTCCGACCAGGAGGAGACCCCGGGGAAGAGGAGAGACTGTCTCTCGGCTGGCCTGATAACACCTCGGAGTCCTCCCAGAACACATAGAAGAGGTGGCTGGGGAAAGAGAGGTCTGGACTTCCCAGCTCAAGATTTTGCCTCCTCAATCTGACTTTAGAACAAGCAGAAGATAATGGACGTGTAGAAAAATGTGCGTTGTTCAAAATGGTATGTCCAAATAAACAGGAATTCACTGGATTTCTTGTTAAAAATTTATTCTCAATCTTCTGACTCCAATCAGGTACAGCACTCAGCAGGCCTCAGTGTAAGACCTGGGGCTGAAAACAAAACACAGGAGCACTACTCTGAGCAGACTCTGCAACTCACTCACAACTTCTTAAAACACTTCCCACTTCTATTATAATGAATTGACCTTCCTGGTTACACCCCTGGAGGTGTTAACTTTTATGTCAGACGTCAGAACGTAACTCAATTTTGTTTAGGCTAAGACGGGTCTGCAACCTGCGGCTCTGGGGCCACATGTGGCTCTTCAGTCCCTCTGCAGTGGCTCTTTGAAAATGTGACCAAACATAACAGAATAATGTTTTTTTTTGTTGTTGTTTGTTTTTTAATACTTAAAACAAAACCTGTTAGCTCATGCTGTTGTTTACTTAAATAAACTAAGTACTTTCTGTGACTTTTCTCTCAAATAATAATAATAATAATGCATTAGTTTTATATAGCGCTTTTCGAGACCCTCAAAGACGCTTTACAATTTTTCATGCATCATTCATTCACACTCATATTCACACACTGATCCACCAGGGTCATCTTTAAATACCTTTTCGACTACATAATAATAAGAATTAGAAAAAAACATCCTCAAATAGTTCAGTTGTACTAGTTTTTATGAAACTCGGTAACTATATACAGTATTTTTCTTGTTTACTTGAATCTGGTCTTTTTATTTGTCCTGATGTGTAAAGATAATAATAAATAATGCAATTCACAATATATAGTTTAGTTTTATAATGTCACCTCCACTGGCCATAAAGGTTACTGAAAAGGCCTCCTAAAGGCCCACAGACCACCAGTTGATAATCACAGTTGCAGCTTGTTTTGCGGCTCTGGACATATTTTATTAGTGAGCCAAGCAGCAGAAATGGCTGTGTTGGTTGTAAAGGTTGCAGACYCCTGGGCTAAGAGAAAGAACACAAAAGACACACAAACTGTTCTGTTATGGCCTTAAAAGCTGAAATAATCAGAAAGTATAAAATACAATACTGCATCTACATTCAATTAATCAGTTACAAAATTTCCTTCAGATGAATGGATGAGAAGACAATGTGTAAAAAATACAAACAGTAGGATACAAAAAATACCAAAATCTCCATATTTTCAACTTTCAGGAAGAAATTCTATCTTTTTATTTTTAACATTTTATTAACCTTTATATAACCAGGCGCATCCCTTTGAAATCACAGATTTCTTTTGCAAAGGAGGCCTGAAGGCAGCCTAACACCATGTTTTCAGTCTGGGAGGAAACCAGAGGACCTGTTCCACAGAAAAACTCACACAAAGGTCTAAACTGGGTATCAAACAGGGCCTTCTTGCTGTGAGGCAACAGAACTAACCACTGATCCATCGTGTTGCCAAAACTGTAATAAATTCAGTTTTTGTCACGTTCTCCCTGCTGACTTCTCCAGAGCTTTGGTTGACCTCCAAAGTGAGGATGCAGGGAGTTTTGTCTTTTTAAAATGTTTTTCTTCCTGATTTATTTAAGAGTATTCTGCTGTTATCCATTGTTTTTATTCAACAATGATGTCAAAATGTCAACAGGCTTGATAGGTTTGTAAAGGAAAACATTTAACAGTAAAAAAGTAACAAATAATGCTTATTTTACTAAAAATTATTCATTACCTAGTCTATTTTATTATTGAAATTTTGTTGTAATTGATCACGTTTTTCTATAAGCTGACAAACTTTATTGAAAAAGTCACACTCATACAGTTTCTGTTTTTAAATGGGTGAACTGAATTGTTTTCTGCAGGCTGGAAAGCTGGCCATTGATCGAGGATGGGCCATAAATGTAGGTGAGTGAGTTTCTATTTAACTTCAATACTGGAAAGTTGTTTACCTAAACTGGTCAGTGTCTGACCCTGTCGAGTAATTTTATCATTAAAAATAATGGTGAAAGTCAACATGAACCCTTGTTCTGCATTCAGACCATCTGCTATATTTACTAAGTTTGCTGTGTTTCTTGGCTGCAGCCCATAGTTGAGTGGTCTSCTAATGATTTTATGAAAGTTGTCCTTTGGTAGTGCAGAAATGTGAGATGTTTTTCATTTCTCCAGTTTWACCCCAACTCATTTAGACTACTCAGATTTACACAGTTTAAATGTTTTTTAACCTCTGCKGTAATGTTTTCGGTCGTGTAAGTCTGTCTGTCTGTGGACGGATTGTCATGACATTTTTACCACAGGTGGGTATTGGCCAAAGGAACACACCATTAAATTTTGGTGATGTTCCAGATCACRATGCAGATACAGGAATTTTTCTTTTAATTTGAGYRAATCAGCCAGGCTACRCAAAGTGTCATTAYGTCAGACACATGTCTGWAGGAAACAGGAAGTACAAGTCGCAAACTSRCTGGGACTACACCTCCCAGGATGTCTACTATTGGGAAAGTTGTGATTATTCTGTTATCAACTAGTATTGGTGATGTTACATGCTGTCTGGAGACGTAGAAAAAGAAATGTGATTCTCTTCACGTTACGGGAATAACAGAAGACACCGACAGTGGGGGGAGGGTCCTGCTGCAGTCCAGCTGAAGCTGGTACCGGTGTTACACCGGACCGGTACCGGACAGCGGGAACAGCTGATCAACCATGTGAGGTACTCCCTCCACATAAGAACTGTATTGTGATTATTCAGAAGTTGGTGGGAGTGTTTGTTTGTGTTGAAAGCATTCAGACTCTGTATTTTGCTTCAACCACTCGCTTCAAAAAAAAAAGGTAAGTAATTTCCAGAGCGACTGTACCAGGAAGAACTTTATAAAGAGTCAAACCATTACAAACACAAACTGTACAAGGGGATAAAACAGAAGTTTTACATGGTGAAATGTGACTGATGAAAACTTTGGAGCTTAATCCCACACCAGTTTGACCATGAATAACGTCGGATAATGAATCTGACTTTTTTTTCACATTGGACTCCACTGGGAAAAAAATCTCACGCATACTGTTGCTTAAATGTTCACTACGTCACAACTTATTCAGCAAATTGTTTCCATCTCTGCTTTTGTGCATTAATTCTTACAGGATGGGGGAAATTGGCCTTGGCGGAGGTTTGCACTCTCCAAGTGCTTCTAGTTATTTATTTTTTATAAAACTTACCTGGATGTGGGCAAAATCTGCAGACTTTTTTTTGTAACACAAACACAACACGGCAATGGGAAAATTAGGAAATAAAATCACAAAACACTCACAATCATCTGCCATGGCTTGAACCACGTGCCAAATTAAGGCCAGCAGGCCAAATGTGGCCCACATAGGCCTTTTGTGTGGCCCTTTGTGGAAATGAGTTTGATCCTTTTTTAAACAAAGGTTTTTATCYAATATGATTTTTTTCTATCCTTTAATTACTTTGAAAACGTGATAAGTAAGTAAGTAATTAAACTTTATTTCTATAGCACCTTTCACAGATAAACATCACAAAGTGCTTCACAGAAAGCAAAATAATTAAAAACAATAAAACAGATCACAGATATAAAAACAACAATTAAAACACAATAAAAAGCACATTAACTAAAAGCCTGTCTGAATAAAAAAAGTCTTAAGATGTTTCTTAAAAGAGTCAGTAGAATTTGAGCAGCGAAGGGACAGAGGGAGAGCGTTCCAGAGCCTCGGGGCCACCACCTGAAAAGCTTTGTCTCCACTGGTTTTATAATGGGTTC